AGTCGTGTCCAAGCAGAGAGTACATATAGAGCAATACAATGAAGTAATGAACCAATGTTCAAGCCCGTAGGCCACACCAACACAGTATCCAAAGTCGCTCCTCTCTGTCTGGCGCCCAGTGCCCAGCCTACTCTAGGCGACTATCCTACCTACAGCTGTGTTCACGCAACAGGCTCACTTCGACTCTCGAAGACCAATGCACATGACTGTCAACACCATAGCCGACCTCCCTTCATGCACCAGGTACGTATCTCGTCACCCTCAATCAGACCTTGATATCCCCACACTCGCCTCCTTCCCTGAAGCGACCAGATCACCCGCATTACCCCCTGGCGCTCAGCAGCCCGGCTATGGCTGCCTGCGCCCCGCTGCCCTGCAGTGCCCCACTTCACCTTTATGCACCCCGTCAGCGCCCTTGGCCGCAGCGCAGCATCAAGCAGAAGTGCAGCAGCACTTCCGCATTGCCTACACAGACCAGAATGCCTGGCCTGGGCTGCCTCACTTCCAATGAAGTGGCAGCCTCCTGGATGCTGTGTGTGGCCTGGCTGGAAGTTTCCAGTAGCTTCCGGTTGGGCCTCAGACCCTTCACCCAGGCCCGAGATTACAGTTGAGGGCCTGGGCCCCTTTACAGTTGGGCACGGCCTGAGTCTTCGGACTTGGGCTGTTTGCTGCATCTGTGCAGGGCTCCCAGGTAGGTGCGTCGACAGTACTGGTTTTGCCTAGGCCGATGGCCTGCTGCTCAATGTATCCCTGCTTTGTGTGTATATGCCCAGGCGCGGCTGTCAAGGCCTGGGCCAACTGTACTATGCAGCTTAGTGGGGCTCACGCGTCCACTCAACCAACTGGCGTGCGGCAAGAGCCTGAATACCCACATCTGAAAATGTCGAATTTTTGCCTTTGACGAATATTCAGGCCCGCCTTCACTTAGGGCGGGCACTCGGCTTGCTGGGGGCCTTTGCCCAGAACATGTGATGTCTGATAGGGCCCCGTGAGGGCTTGTGCCTCGCATTCCATCCCCCTTTGCTTCGAAAGTCCGCTGAGATGCTTCATGCGGGTGCCTTCCCTTTCAGTTTCTTCTCATATTCGACCACGATCTGAGGAGGTTTCTTGACAAGTTTCTCCCTTGAAATCCATCTATCTTCCTTAGGATCAGTATGATGCCTGAAATGTACTCTGTATTCCCTTGCAGGTTTACGAGGTCTACCCCTGCCAGTTGGCTTGGGAACAGGCATGTCTCTGTGGTCCAGGATATCGTCGACGTCCACGTGGCCATCCATGGTTGGGGGCAGCATAGATCTCCGTGATGAAAATTGTGCTGTCTCTGCGAAAGGTGTAAGCTTGGAGGCGTGAAAAACAGGGTAAGTGGGTAGGTGACCAGGGATACGAATGACGTACGAGGGACCATCCAAATCATTCCCCACAATATCTAATACTTCCCAGGGACCGAAATATTGAGGCATTAGTTTCCTAGACATCCAAGGTGTCCTGGATTGTATCCAGTTTGCTGTCCATGTATGCGTGCATGGACATATGCGCGCCTTAAAAATCTTCTCAGTATTGTTAAGGGTCGAGTCATCTAACCCCTCCTGTGCAGCTTTGTTTGCCTCCTTACCCTGTAGTCTGACACTTCTATCTCTAATCTCTTTCTCTCTTTTAGTAGCCTGTTTAAGTTCCTCCTCTAGCCTCAAGCGAATCCTTTCTACCTGCTGGAGCTCCATCTGCTCCCGGGTGCGTGGAGGTGGCGAGCTGAACTGCGAACCCGCCATTTGACTAGTGCCAGCTCCTGACGTACTGGAGATAACATGCAAGCTGGTCTGTTGACCAGTTGAGGTCGCAGCAGACGTTGCTGCAGAGGTAGCCATAGCTACTGCACTAGCTGCTGCTGCTGCCAACGCCCATTCTACAGCCGCTGCTGCTTCTCTCAGTCTCTAGATTACGGGCTCTAGCTTCGACCCTTAGTTTCCTCTCGTCTCCTGCTAGTAGGACCTGGAACACTAAGGGTATCCTACCGGTATCCCTTCGTGTCTGCCTCCTATCGTCAGATGTATGTTCAGCACCCTCTGATCCACTCATGGGCTAGGCAAACGCTGTCTGCACTAATGACCTCTCTGGGACCTACTGCAGCATGCATCTGACCGGTTCTAAAAATAATGAAAGTAAATTAATATCCAGCGAGTTACCTAGACTACCGGTCAAGCGGCATCAACAGCAACTACACAGACTGTACACATGTAGTCTACTTCTTATCTTGATTAGTTCTGTTCAGAAGTGTTGAGAAGAACTGACTATGGTAGATTACAGTCGTACTCTAGTCTGTCTGTTAGGTGTCAGCAGTCTGTCAACCAACTAATTAAAATAAAAATAAACTACTGTGAGCAGATGTATGCACAATTGGTATAACAGTGATGTTCAGTTGACTTCACAATTGGAATCCCCTTCCCGTGTATCCAACATACCTATGAGCATCATCAAGCTGCAATGTCTAAGGTGTGCAATCACGGCCCACCCCTGTGCCCAAGGCTTATGCTTATGACCAGCCTGCCCTTTGTTTACCCTCGCGTGCAACGAGCCTTATGTCTGACTGATCTGGCTGATCAAGAGGCAATTTAAGGACAGCCCCCGAGAGTCCTCAGGAATTATTCAACGTCGCAATCAGGACAACGATCACAGCCAGTGGACAGTTCAGATCCCAACCAAAAATGTTTATAGACGGTCTGGGAGCGTCTGCTTAGGACTGGTGAGTCCGCACAACCCTTTCTATTAGCGCAGCAAAGAGCCTCAATGGACAAAGCAGCAAAGCCTGCGTGTACTACTCCCATGGGTTGACATGGTGACTGTGACCCGTGCTTCGACCATTGCCCTTCAGAGGCACCGCCCTCTCCTGCCAGATGCGCCACCGGGAAGAATGTTGTTTCTCAAGATAGAGGGCACACGACTCCTTACCAAAGAGAAGACACTCAAGTTGGACTCACTTCCTCACGGTAAGAAGAGATTGAGAGGGTAGATAAGGAATGGGAACAACATACCTGGAGATAGCTGCCCCCAACCACAGATTTCTCACCAATTGGGCCGACGTGCATTTCGATGACCGGTCAATAGCCTTGGTACCACCCACAACGCAATGCAGTGTGACCTTAGCCAAAATGCCACGTCAGCATACTCTCATCATCATACATACACCCGCCGTCGCCACAGCTCCCACGCTGTTGCCACAGCCTTCCAGCGGCCGGCCCCTCTACCTGGGCCCCGCTATAACATGCCAACGTCAAAGTATCCTTACCGCGCATGAAGCATCGTCAGCGCACCAAGTACGAATATCGCCAGCGCCAGGTAAGTGGCGATCACGAACCAGCTTTGATACCAAATTGCAAGGAATATGAGTGTGAACGATATACAGAAAACCAAGTTGCGAAATCACACAGATGTCCAAGTAGTCGTGTCCAAGCAGAGAGTACAAATGCACCGAGAAACCATCCATATAGAGCAATACAACGACGTAATGAGCCAATGTTCAAGCCCGTAGACCACACCAACACAGTATCCAAAGTCGCTCCTCTCCGTCTGGCGCCCAGCGCCCAGCCTACTCTACCCGACTATCCTACCTAAAGCTGTGTTCACGCAACAGGCTCACTTCGACTCTCGAAGACCAATGTACACGACTGTCAACACCATAGCCGACCTCTCTTCATGCACCAGGTACGTATCTCGTCACCCTCAATCAGACCTTGATATCCCCACACTCGCCTCCTTCCCTGAAGACCACCAGATCACCCGTATTACCCCCTGGCGCCCAGCAGCCCGGCTATGGCTGCCTGCGCCCCGTCGCCCTGCAGCACCCAGCAGCCCGGCTATGGCTGCCTGCGCCCCGCTGCTGCCCTGCAGCGCCCCACTTCACCTCTATGCGCCCCGTCAGCGCCCTTGGCTGCAGCGCAGCATCAAGCAGTAGCACAGCAGCACTTCCGCATTGCCTACGCAGGCCAGAATGCCTGGCCTGGGCTGCCTCACTTCCTATATGGAAGTGGCAGCCTCCTGGATGCTGCGTGTGGCCTGGCTGGAAGCTTCCAGTAGCTTCCGGTTGGGCCTCAGACCCTGCACCCAGGCCCGAGACTACAGTTGAGGGCCTGGGCCCATTTACAGTTGGGCACGGCCCGAGTCTCCGGACTTGGGCTGTTTGCTGCATCTGTGCAGGCTCCCAGGTAGGTGCGTAAACAGTACTGTTTGTGCCTAGGCCGATGGCCTGCTTCTCAATGTTTTGGCCCTGCTTTGTGTGGATTTGCGCAGGCGCAAGTGTCAAGGCCTGGGCCAACTGTACTATGCAGCTTAGTGGGGCTCACGCGTCCACTCAACCAACTGGTGTGCGGCAAGAGCCTGAATACCCACATCTGAAAGTGTCGAATTTTGGCCTTTGACGAATATTCAGGCCCGCCTTCACTTAGGGCAGGCACTCGGCTTGCTGGGGACCTTTGCCCAGAACATGTGATGTCTGATAGGGCCCCGTGAGGGCTTGTTCCTCGCATTTCAATTGGCATCTGTAAAAAGAAATGAACCGGAGCGGCGCACTGTCTTTTTTTTTTCTGCCTTGCGCCACCAGCCATTTCGGTCTGGTAGCATTGTTGGTTTAAGATGTCGTTAAGAAAAATCAAATAAATACATAGAAGTTTTCAGCAGGTGATGTTCCCATCAATATAGACTGGAGCATTTGTCAACTTAGTATTTACTGAATACTAAATATAATAAATAAGGGTTCAGCCTTCAGATTAGTTGGAGCATCTGAATGACCCCTTAACCAAGGTCCAGATCCAGACAGTCTCCATGCTCATGCCTTTCATAAGACATTAAAAGAAGGATTTAACGGTTTTAACCACCTCATTTCATTCGGCTTTTCTTTTTGATCTCTTTTCTTCGTTGTGCAAAAACAATGGAATGTTTTGAAGTGGTCCCCACGACTTTCCAGATTCACTCAGTTACACGTAATGACTATTTATGTGTGCACTGTGCAGGTTTTTGTCATTTGCACGTGTTGGCACCGGGTGGACGGATGATGAGCTCGAGATTCTGCGGAAAAAGTTGGGACCGTATTTACGGTACGTGTTACCTAGTCAAACTTCGACCCTGGTTTTCCAAGTAGTCAAACTTTGACCTTGGGTGTCCAAGCAGTCAAACTTTGACCCTGGTTTTCCAAGTAGTCAAACTTTGACCCTGTTTTCCAAGTAGTCAAACTTTGACCCTGATTTTCCAAGTAGTCAAACTTTGACCCTGGTTTCCCAAGGAGTCAAACTTTGACCCTGGTTTCCCAAGAAGTCAAACTTTGACCCTGGTTTTCCAAGGAGTCAAACTTTGACCCTGGTTTTCCAAGGAGTCAAACTTTGACCCTGGTTTTCCAAGTTTTAGACTATATTTGGGTCTTGCTTAGTCAAAAGCTTTGACCCTGGTTTTTCTCTGAGTTTTAGACTACATTTAGGTCCTGCCTAGTCAAACTGGGACTGCGGCATGAATCCGCATGATACTGCCCACTGCCGAATGTGTGTGCTACCTCAGCCTGCCACTTTTCATCATCCTGGAGGCTGAGGTCTGGGCCCTACCAGGTAGTGCAATGAATTGCAGTGAAGTGCGGGCTGTACACTAATTCTCTGCTGCCTGTTTTGCGCTTCCCGGGACTTGATCCTGTGACTTGTAGTGTGTTTGTGGTGTTTGACTGTTTTGAGGCTTGTCGGGCTTGAACCTTGAACCTGTCGCTAGTAGTCCCTACTTCGCAGTCTTAGGCCTTTTGGCCTCGTTGTTCTGTCCTTTCTGCCCTTCTAGAAACTGGTAGGCCGTAGGTCTTTCTTTTGGGTGTCCTAGCCTTGGGTCGCTTAGCTCACGTTTCCATCTAGATGCAGTTAGGAAGATCTTGACTGCTAGGCTGTAGATGTTCGCTGGTCGGACAGTCAGATAGGTCTGTAGGTAGCTGCTGGGTGGTAGGCTAGGGAAGTCGGGTAGAAGTAGGCAGGGACCGACGAATCTCGGTTCTGTTTCAACATTTTTTTTCCACGAAGTGCTGCTGGAGGTCGGCGCTGGAAGCTGCGCTAATTTTAGCGCTCGGTCTTCTCCTTCCTCACAGGAAAAGGGCGACCATAGCTGGGGTTACGGGACTTAGGCAGGTCTGGCCCGGGCATCAGGCCCATTCAGTGGGGCGCTCCTCCATCGCTGTTCTGTTGGGGTTAAGGCAGCTGCCATCGAAGCAGCTCTCTCTGATGCTGATTTCGAAGCGGCAGGCCATCATCTTCATCGAGCTGGTGTTCTTCTTCGTCGTCCAGCGAGCTACCCTCCCTTGTTGGTCCGACACATCATCTGCAGTGGGCGTTGCGAGTGGACTGCTGAGTGACTGTTTGGGTTTTCAGGGTTGGTGGCAATTGGTGGGCTTGATAGGTTGGGCGCAGGTCTGCGCCATAGCTGTGAGCTCGAAGGTGTGGGAGGAAGAAGAAGTCTCCCTCGATAAAACTCTGTAAATAATTTGTTCGTGGGTATTGATAACGTGGTTGGGATTCTTGGAATAAGTACTCTGGATTGATTGGAGGAGGATGAGGGATTGCAGAACTGAAATTCGTTTTTCAAATCTCTGTGTATTTTGAGCTTCCGCTGTGCATATCTCCTCTCTGGTTTTGTGTGGATTTGCCTCCTTCAAGTCTACTCTACAATTGCATCGGTGTGAATTCGTTGTGGATTGAAGTTCAATCGGGTACATAACAGTAGCGTGGATCACGGCCTAGGTACCTGCCTGGTCTGGATCCCAGCAGAGCCCCTACCAGGTAGGTAGTTACCTGGGCAGCCTGAATTTGGGGCCTGACTTGACAGAGGCCATGCCCTTTACTCGGGGCTGCGGTTCAACCGTAACCGCGCAATATTGTGAGACGCTCACAGGTGTATCAATTTCATTTTTGTTTTTACTTAATTTGGTATTATTTGGACCATTTCTCGATTTATGTGTGTCGTCCTTGCACAGGGGCCATGCTAATCTTCTTTCTCTGTATCGTTCCAATTTTAACGGATGTCCCAAAGGGGACAACAGACGTGTATCATCAATTTATGACATGTTAAATATTGAAGCTATGAAACTCATGAGTGCAAGTCTTGGAGGTTTTCCCGTCATCGTCATTTGTGTTTCCTTCATCAAACCAACATAAAAAGCAATTGTGGCATATCCTCCCATGCTTGGAAGTTGGAAATTTTATCTTTCTTTTTTTATCTTTAATGGTCTTTAAGAATCTGAATGTTGGAGCCTTGGAGATATTTCCTATTTAGGCAATTCTAGAGACTACTAGCTGTGGAGTACAGGTCATGAAAGTAGGAAAAGTGAAGTTCAATCAACTTACAAGGTACAGACAATGCTTTCCAACTGAATGCTGGCAGGCCCAATGAGAAAGGATCAAGACCCCCAAGTTGTTATTCGGTAACCAATCATTCAAAGGAGAGGCCTCATCTCTGGGTTGTCCCGCCTGAGAAGTAAGCTTTTCAAAGTCTATTTCAAGTTTTTGAAACTTTTTTTCAAAGTCTATTTCAAGTTTTTGAAACTTTCTTTCAAAGTCTATTTCATCAAAACTTTTTCCTTCACACTGCTTGTTCCTTGAATGCATGCATAACGCAAGGGTCAAAGACCCTAACTAGTTATGCAGGAAAGGTGAACACAACTCTCTCTCTCTCTCTCTCTCTCTCTCTCTCTCTCTCTCTCTCTCTCTCTCTCTCTCTCTCTGTGTGTGTGTGTGTGTGTGTGTGTGTGTGTGTGTGTGTGTGTGTGTGTGTGTGTGTGTGTG